TTTTTTAATGATTATATGCTATCTATTTTAAATTAAAGCAAACCCTCCTTGTAATTTAACCTGATTGAAGTGACCTACCACTATGCCTTTTATCATCATTTAGTATTATTTATTTATTATTGGTATGGTACAGCGCATATTTTTCCATACCAAATCACACAAAATTTTATTCTAAATCTTTTTTGGGGGTTAAGGTTGAGACTGTGGGATGGCCAGTCTATGTCATCAATTCTATTTTGGGACAAAAAATTCTTTGCAACATATGAAGTGTGCTTAGGATCATTATCTTATTGCAGGTGCCAGTCTCTACCATACAACTGTTGGGCAGCAGTCAAAAGCTGGGCTTGCAAAATATTTACATAAAATGATCCATCCATTGTTTCTGTGAAGCAAAACAAAGGTGTTTTACCATTCAATGAAATTCCCACCCCAAGCCATCACTTTCTGGCATTCCTATGCAATCCATGAATTTTATTACAAAAGAGATGTTGTTTTATCAGTAAAAATGGTAAAGCTCCAATCATCATTCATGTGTATTGTGCCCATGACATTCTTGTTTCAATATGATGAGATGTCAACATGAGTGTTCCAATGGGCACAGAACTTTTGTAATGATTTTTTTTCAGGATGCAAAATTGTAAAGTTTTGTGTTGCTTGAAGTTTTATAACAAGTTGTTGTGTTGAAATGGCAGTGATGTGATGAATAGTTTGCCCAATGGAACATGACGCATTTTCTATAACCTTGGATGGATGGCCATTACCACCTCCATGTTCAACAGTTACCAGTTTTTTTCAAGTTGCTCTCAATAGTGCGAAGGGTATGTTTGTATTTCTTTTGGGGAATGAAGTCCATTCATCCAAAAATGCAAAATAGCTTTATGTTGTGCTTCAGTTTTGTATTTACAAAGTTTAATTGACAATCCGTCTATGAATGAGTGAAATGTCGATCTTTTTACTATTAATATTAAAAACCTGAGGAAATATCTTATCTAATAATCTGCAAAAATATATTCCACATCCCCGTCATGTGATAAAATTTAAATGAAAGAAGATGAAAAAAAAACTACGATTTCATTTTTGTTTGTTTTTGAAAGGATTTAATCAATCATGAAGTACTTATAGTGTCATTTTCCTTTTTTTAAAGTTTTGGAGTTTTGAAATGGTTTTGAATTTTGGAGTTTAAAAACAGTTCGGAATTTAATAGTTTCGGAATTTTGAAAAATAGTTTTGGGGTTTCAAAAACAATGTTTCTATTCATAACACAATTTCTTGTTCAATCTTAATTATATTTTATTTGTTCATCTATTTTATTTCATCCATTGAATACTCAAATTGATTAATTATAGTGAATAATTTATTCGAATTATATATTTTTTTGTTGTTATTTTAATTACACGAATGTAAAAACTTTTTTATATATGAAAAATCTCTCTCATCTCTACATCCCCAAAAGTAAACCCTTTTTTTTCAATATTCTTAAAAAAAAATACATAAATATGTTCTTTGACATTTGTTTCATAACCTAAAATCAAAAAATATTATTTTATAATACTAAAGTATAGTACCATTTTTTTATACAAAGTCGTCAATTGGTGAAATTTGTGAGATTTTTCCTCCGCCGATTCCTATGTAGAGCTCAATTAAGTATATATTAAAGATGAAGATCAATTATCATGTAAAAAAATGTATCCAATCATTTTTATTTTTAAAAAGGAGCGATTTTTTTGCAACACAATAATTTTTATTAGTGTCACGTGCAACCAATAAAATTATTCCCTTTATAAATGCAATGGGGGTGCACTTATGGAGGTAGAATAATATATATATATATTAATCATGCTATCTATAAATATTTGTAACCTTTACAGAATAGGAATGCTCAAAACCATTTACAGAAAGCAACTATAATATATATCAATAGTTTTTCATTGAGACAATTATTGGATGAGGCTGTCAACAAATTTCAGTTGATTCAAAATGTGCACAAAAAAAGCAGAATTGAGATGAAGCAACGAAAGCCTAATGTATTCCAACCTGGTAGTGGAGGCTGTTATCCACTAATTTTGATTTTTTGTCACAATCCGATTATTGTTGTTTTTTTTTATTTTAACCAATCAGATTCTCATTTATTAATGATCTTCATCTTTTAATGATGATGCTGTAAAAAATGTGAGCAGTATTTTGATAATAGAATTTTATTTTATTTATTATTTTTATTGAAAATTACAATTTAATCTGATTTTATATGATTTGTATTTTTATCATTACCATTAAAATTTGTTAATTTAGATGTTAATGCTGATAAACTAAATTTAGACTGAATAAAAAAAAAAATTTAATTTAGAAAATAAATAAATGATTGAATAATTAATTAATTCACTTGATAACATAAACTTACTTCATCGTTTTTAGTACGTGGTGCAGCCCATTCCAACATAAACATTAATAAACTGGAAATCAAATAAATTTCATGAGAAATATCATGGGTTGATGTAGTATAATATAATGTTGTAAGTGTTGTTGTTCCCCATAAGACTGATAGTGGAATTGCAGGTTTAACAATTCCCATATTTTCAAAATGATAAATAACTACTGTGATCAACTAATTTTTTTTTGTAAAAAGAAATAAGTTAATTAATAATTGTATATATATTTTTTTTTCTATATATATATATTTGTTTTTGTAAATAACAATAAAATCCCAGAATCTCACAATGACGGTTAATAAAGCTCCTGTTACAAAAGTTTCAGCTTTTGGATGATTAAAAATATATTCTGCGATATATTTAATGCTAAATATTACTGCCAAGCTGTTTAATAATAACTAATAATAATAATATTGTTATTATTAATAATTTATATAATTTTTGCTTTTTCATTAATTAATTAAAGATCTTAAATATTAATAAAATACCAATTTGGCTTTCGTCGATGGTGATTCATCAGCTGGTTCTGGTGCGACATACCAATTACCTTTATTATTTCTCTGTTTAAATGTATAAACTACACTTGGAAAAACTGTATATATTACAAGAAATGCTGGTACTGCTCCTGCGATTCTACGTTTATATAATAATATTATGATATAATTTTATATAATTTTAATAATCACCACCAATACTAATTATTACAATTACTTACATATCGGTAGTGCTAAGAGAATCAAAGAAATCAGCCTACAAAGGAACAAATTAAACAAATTAAAAGGAAAATCAAAAACAAGTTGTTATTGAGAAAATAAATCATATTCACCCAATCTTCAGGTAACCAGGATGTCAGATTCATTTTTTATGTTTTGGTTTTTGTTTTGTAAAAAAAAGTGAGGTTTTTTAAAATTATGCTTGAAACAAAATATATTAGATTTTCATGTGAATGAATTACTTATATTGGACATTCATATAAATATTAAATAATACTGCGTAATTATCTAGCAATCATGCGAAAATATCTTGTCCGTCCATTTTCATTTTAATTCAATATAATAACCTTCATATAATATTAATAAATTGTTTGCACATGTTCCAGCCTTGATTGATACATCATATATACATCATAAAGAAAGACATTGCTTAAATAAACAAAAATTTCATAATATTACACATTCAAGACTCTATTAAAATTGATGTTTTAATGCATTAAAAGTTTTGTACAATTATAGGCTCGAGTTTAACTATTTGATTTGAAATTTCTCCTAATGCAAAAATTTTTCCGGAAGATAAATTTCAATTTTCTCAAGTGTATCTATTTATTTTTTATTCTTCTATCTTTACTCTGAAGGGATTTATTGAAAGCATTACTAAAATCATAATTTAAACACATCACCTTTTAAACAAACCAACCATCATTAATTCATCATTGTTCATTGCATTATTTGATTTACTAAAACCACATTCACAATCTACATAGAAAAGGGAATTGATTGAATGCACTATTTCCATAAGTTTTAAAATATTTGCACAACTACATTATCATACAATAAAAGGAAGTAAATCATGGACATACTGAAGTCAAGATATCCGATTCATTATCATTTCATCATCCAAAATTTCAGATATTTGTGACCTTGACTGTTCCTTCTAAAATACTAAAACAATGACATTATATATTATTATTAGCCTATATATTTTATTTTAACAAATACATTTAAATTATTACTGCAACTTACAAATTCAGAAAAGGAAGTAGTTCGAGTTATCTAAATCCGACCACAATAGCCACTAATCAACAATTTCATGGTATCGTATTAATAATGAATCGGATGAATTAGCCAAAGTAACAAAAAAAATAGTAATAGTAGTTTTAACATCACGAATTATGACAACGTGGAAATTTAGCGCACGAATGAATCATAAATATATAATGATTTTAAATTCCAAAAATAAAAAAGTTAATATTCCTCTTCAGGAATACTTGCTAATATAGAAAGTATTGGTAAATCATCTCTTCCTCCTTTCCACCAAATAAGTGGATTAATATTGCCAGTTATATTAGCCATATTTAAATATTTTGCTAATTCATCCTCATTTTCTGTGAATTATTTTGAAACAAACATCCTGTTTAATAAAAATTGCTTTCTCACTATTCCTTAAATATGTACAATGTGTACACGTCCTGGATGGAGGTGTGATTGTACTGTCTTGCAAATTCTATGAATAGTGTGTCAAGCAAGCGTCAGTCTGAACTTTTTATGGAAGATGTGTTAAAATTATGTCCGATTTGCACAGAAATTTGTTTGAGAAAATAAAATCTCTATGATATTGGTTTGTTGAATAGAGATTACCAAAGACTATACAAAAACGGGGTTTTCCAGTTATATCACAATGTCTACTCATACTCCAGAACCTAGCATCTTAGATTGTCAGATGGTTTAATTAACGACTTTATTTTATATTTATCTATCTACATTTAATAACTTGAAAATAAAATAAATAATAGAAAATTATTTAGAAAATAATTTTTATTTGGAGAATTGTTTTTCAGTTACACCTTTACCCATAGCAGATGTAGAAGAAACACCGCCTTGTACAATTTTCACTGTTAATAAAAAAAATTATTTAATTATTTTTAGTTTTTAATCATAATAATAATGATAATGATGATGATAGTAAAATAATAAAAGAAGCTTACTAAGTGAATCAACATAATTTGCTCCAGACCAAGTTTGATGTTGTAATGTTTCAACACCATTTATACGTTCTTGACGTTGAATATCTTGAACATATGCCAACATACCTATCTCAGCATATTTACGTGCAAATAAATCTGGATTTACAATAATTAATTTGTTGGTTAAAAAAATTTTTTTTAAAAAATAGTTTATCTATTTATTAAAAAATCATAATCGAGAGCTACTTACCAATACCCAATGCATTAGAATGGAAACCACCTAATGTAATAAATTGCCATACAAAACCAAGTTTACCAAGATCAGATATAAAACTACGAATTTGTTGATCAGTCATTCCAGCGGCATCCCCTAAAAACAAACAAACATAATAAATAAATAATAAAATAAATAATAATAATAATAATAATATTTAGACAATTTTTTAACTTACAATTGAAGGAAGGACTGAGATTATATGCTAACATTTTTTCAGGATAAACTTTGTGAACTCCTTCTGAAAATTCTTTTGCCTGTGCATAAATAGGTTTAGCAGTTTCCATCCAAAGTAAATCACAATATGGGGCAAATGCAACAGCACGATTGATTGCACATTTGGTACCGCCTTGGTATCTATACAATCCTTCACGAGTTCTTGGAGCATCCCAGTCCCAAAATACCTCAATACCTAATGATTTTGCCAATTTCGCAGCATCATAATGTGAAAGTCCTTGACTTTTTGAAGTCCACTTTTGAATCGTGGAATTTTTATTATTAATATTGGATGATTTGTTGATAGCATCAATCACAGCATCATTGTAAAGCTTGATGTTTGCATCTTTAATCCATTTTTCTTCTGTTGCAGCAAGTTTCTGACCAGTCAAACCTTTTAATTCAGCTTCTTTCATGACTTCTATAAGAGGACGAATATTAGGATTAGTTGATCCAAGAATAAAAGCATGATCACGTGAGTCAATATTTGATGTGATAAGAGTTGCAGCTTCGGAATCAGTACGAGATACAATTAAATTTTCAACACCCATTATATCGAATTGAACACGAATTGATATTAAACGATTAATATGTTCAGAGATCGGGACCAAAACTTTTCCACCCATATGACCACATTTTTTAAAAAGTGGACTTTGATCTTCTATGTGAACTATTATTATTATCGAAAGTCAAATATAAAGTAAAATAAATAAACATATAAATTAATTTTAATATCAAAGTTAAATATAAATAAATAAATATGTCAAAATTTAAACTTACTGCCAGCAGCACCACGTTCAACAAACATTTTTGCAAGTTTTAATATAGCAGTAGTACCGCCATGGCCAGTATCAGCATCAGCAATTATTGGACGTAAATAATCTACAAAAGGAATTTTTGCTCTTTCTGCTTTGGGAAGGCTTAATCTAGCCTCCTGTTGTTTTCTATCATGAAATCGTTGGGCCATAAACAAATGCTCGACTTTGTTTGGAACAGTGTCCATAGGATAATCAGCTAGATCAGGACCAGGTTCATTTGAAGTGGAGGCAGTTGAAGAGCATTGCCAACCAGAAACATAAACGGTTTCAAGGTATTTTGCCATCTGAGCCACTTGAACAGGATCCAGTGCGCCAAAAGTATGGGAGGCAGTTTTGTTTTTTTGATGGGAATTCAATAAACTCCATAATTTCTTTGCTTGAGTATCAGAAGGGTATTGTTGTCTGAGTAGACCTCTTTTGGACACTATTTCTTTAGCACTATATGGACGCTTTATGTGAGCAAAACGTCCACTTTTCCACCATCTTTCAACCTCTGAAGCTTCATGTTCGAAAGCGGCTTGTTCTTGATCAACGAAATTAGCTAAAGTCATTATTATTATTATCGTAATTAAATAAATTTATTAACGTATTTATTTATAATTTACAAATAGGTTGTAAAAAAAAGATCTGATTTTACAATATAATCATTTCTAAATTTGTATATATATATATAATTTGATCCACACAATAATAATAATTTTTAGCCAATTACGATCTTAGTTAACGAAAGATCCATGAATGCATGAATATCAAAAAAAGTGAATTTGGGTTTTTCACGGACTCGTGTAACATTGCGGAAAGGGATTATTAAATTTTCCAAAAAAGTAAATTACTATATTATTATTATTATTATTCAATTCTCCCATTACTATTACTTGACTAATTAGTAATATTAATATGGTGTCTTTACAGGTTTTTGTATGGCTCTCTCGACACGATTATTTCCTGGTTACTATTTATTATAGAAATTATCAACATAAAAAATACATTCATGTCAAAAATGACCGGGCATTATGTAGATCATTTTTTTAAACTTTGCAACAAAAACTAGTAAGAAAACCTGTTTTGATGCCCAATAAAAATTCTAGAAATACGTTAAGTTTGTTAAATTTTTTTGCTTCATTCGAAAATTCTATTTTAATAGTTTTTCAATATATGTAATAAAGGCATATCAGAAAAAGTTTACCCAAATTGGTTAGAACTTGGCAAAGTTGCAAAGGAGAATTTTAAAACAGAATGGAATGATAATCTAATTTAAATAGATAGATGGTATGTCAGATATTAATGTATGCAATTTTGCCAATTTCTGACCAATTTGAGTAATATTTTTCTTTTTTTTTGAAAGTCAAAAGCCACACTATAAAAATTATATCAGATTTTAAATTATTACATGTAAAAATTTTAAAAACCATGTTATTATTATTATGTAGGTTTTAGAGCAATGATTAAAAAACTTTACATTAAACTGTTTCTTTTCAAATATCTTTTATTTTTAACTGATGAAGTTCTAAAAAATATGGATACATATAATTTTATATCCATAATCCTCAGAATTTTAAGCCACGAATTGATCTTTTTTTTTTGTTTTTGTGTTAGAGCAATTGTTAAAGAATTTCCATGTTAAAATTTCAAAGACATGGTTTGACCTTACAAAAAATTGGCAACATTATTTTGTATCAAGTTTTTTTTTTATCAATAAAGTAATTGATTTAATTATCGATTTTTTTTGTATTTTCAGAAAATTTTACTAAAATGATTTACATAGCGTTCGGCCATCTTTGGCAAGTGAGTGTAGTAGTTTACAATACAATCAATAAATTGCCTATATAAATCTATCTAAACACACAATGAAATGATTTTTAATTTAGGTGAATTTTAAATTTCTATTTTAGAGTTTGATTATTTGTGGTTGCGAAGAATTATATTTAATTAGTCCAGCTGCTCTCTTAAGTGGAACATGAAATGACACAATTCCCTTTGTAATTGGTGATTTCCGTGATGTTTATGCTAAATTTGTTTCTTTTCGAACATTCTCTAAACATATGGATCCTGGTGGTTTTTGGTAAATGTTTGTACAGAGTACGAAAACTTAATTTTTCCAAATTCTTAAATGTATATATTTTAAAAGCTATCTATTATTTGAAACGGGATTGATTATTTGTAGACTTTAATTTTTAATTAAAGAAAATATAGAAAATTGTTAAATGAACAATCAGAAACCAAAAAAAGATGGATTGCGCAATGATGACAAATATTTCCTTACAAAGTTTTATGACAAATGTTTTGGAGAAACAGAAAAAAACACAAATACAAAAAACAATGATATTTGAAAATAGATTTTTCAATACATTATAAAAACTTTATTGTACATATCGAGACTTTTTCATTGTACAAAACTCCAAAAATCATGTTTGTTGTTATTATTATTATACAAAAATTATGTACGAATTTCAAATCCGAACCTTTATTATAATGATAAGATCAACCTTGTGGCCAGGGTCCCTATCCACATATTTGTGTATTTGGCACTTAGTATTAGCTTTTGTTTATCCCTTAAACGGTTAATCGGCTATTGATAACCGATAAAAATTTTCTGATATAAAAAATTTTTTCTGAGGGCATCACTTTCTAATACGAAAATGATCTTTGAGATTTAGCCGATTAATCTATAATTAAAAATCCAATTGTTGTCCTTGTGGTTTTTGTAAATCCTCTTTAAAAGTTGGTCGATTGACTTGTTTTTATTTAAATTGACCAATAAGAATGATCAAAACTTTAATTTGTGTTACCAAGAATACTCTGACCGTTTAAGAGATAAGTTCTTCAATTTCAGAATTATTATAAACATTGTAGAGTTATTGTTACTTGAATAATAATTATTATTATTATTTGTCATGGTTATATAATATAAGAAATTCTTGAATTTTCAAGGAAAAAAATAATGTTAATGTCAAAGAGTCAAATAATATAAATAATAATAATAATGTAAAAAGTATGATTTAGTCGCATCGATCCCTGAATAAAAGATTTAACAACCACTGTTTTCTTCTTCGGCATCTCTTATCACTTTCTCCTCCCACATTTCCACCATCATCAATGATTATAATATCCATATTATCATTTTAATTTACAATTAAAACAAATATACACCAATTTAAAGTACATTCAGACGTCAATTTGTTTCCCTTCCCATCATTTATAAAAGAAAAAGTGGGCCAATTCTTTTCAGAAGCAAGCTGATGAAGTAGGAGATGAAATCATCGGATTTAACAAAATGAGGCCAAGTTTTTGATTTTGTCATTTTATTTGGTTTATTTACAAAACAACCCAAGCAGCTTGCTTAACAGCCCTACGTTTATAATAACTATCAGTATTTCCAATCAATCTTTGGACAATAATACTTCAGTTTACCACTCATTTTAACGTAAAACAAAATAACGTTTTTGTTTTTTAAAAGTTTATTTACAATTTTTAAGGATTTAGTTTAAAAAGGTAATGACTTTACAGAATCTGCCAAAAAAGTGATCAAAGAAATAAAAAATGGAGTTTTTCTCATGTTTATTTTATTAGAGAACCTGAAGTTGTCTCAAAATAAAAATTTGATTTTCAAATAATAATAATAATAACGATTTTATCTCCTCTATCTCTTCCTCACGATATAAAACTTATGTATGAACGTGAAGGAGAAATGTCAATTGGCGAATGTAGATGTTCTTCTCAATATAATTCTCAGGGTTAAAGCATTACTTAAAAATTGCACAGTCGTTCATTACATACGTATATGTATTTGATCGTTGAATTTAACAAATCAAGGGGATGACTAAAATTAGATCCAATTAAAATAAAAAGGGAATGGTTAAATTAACACAGTACCAAAGATAAGACTGGATAATAACAAATCATATTTTATTATAAAGTAAATATTCTCATTTTTATTATATAGTGCAAGTCACGTAAATCCTTCAAATCCTCCAAAAATGGAAATACCAAAATAAATCGTGTTTTTGAATCCTCTACAAAGTTACGATTTCATCTTGTTGATATGTCATGTTGTTGTGGAGGATTTGGGCTTCAAAGCTGCACAAGTTTGCCGAGTTTACTATTACACAAAAAAATTAAATACGAAACAAAAGGGAGGCATTCATTTTACCGACAGTTCATTTTACCGACAACACACGGTGCGCCATTTAACCTCCACATGATCAAACAACAAATAAAATGCTAAAATGGCGCGCCGTGTGTTGTCGGTAAAATGAACTGTCGGTAAAATGATTGTCGGTAATAGTAAAGTAATACGTACCCCCAAACAAAATAAAAAATTTTGAATTTTTCCCTTACATTGCAAATCTTTTGTCACATGAATTTTCCAGATGAATGAAAAGAGAATTTATTCTTCTTTATTTATATATATATATAAATACAACAAACAGCTAAATTCATTTATTTCGAATTTAATAAATAGGATATTGCATTGATCAAAGAAACTTGCAAAACATATACCAAAAATATATTTCATAGAAATACATACATTTTATTTCTATTGTTAATATCATTATTTAACTAGTAATAGTAATAATGAATTGTATATATTATTATTTCCAATTTAATTATGAAATGATCAAACAATTTTTATTGCATTTTTGATTGGAAATTTTTTCTCAAAATTGGCAGTGTAGAAAGTTGTGAGACCAGGTGGCTTGTACCATACAACTTTCATTTGTGGTAGCTTTAACAAAGAATCATTTGGTCTATCGATAATGATTACCTTAAAACGTTAACCCAAAATTATTATTGTTAAATTAAAATATTAAAATAAAATTTAGGGTTACCTACTCCAAACACCAATTTATCCATTCTCGTCATCCATCACTCTAATTCGATAAATAGAAGCATTTGCAATTGGATGCATGCATTTGAAATGAAAACTTTAAAAAATCGAACATTTACATTTTTTCGGTAAATGCCAAAAGAATTATAATTGAGTAATTATATGATTGACCTGGATTTCAGTAAATTAGGATAAACATTAACAAAAAGGAAAAAGAATTCTTTAAAAATTGCTCTTTATGATGAACGTGAAATAATAATTACCATGGTAATGATAATAATAAATTAAGCATGGTTCGATCATCTATTTCTTGAACTTATCTTATTATTTACATATTAATATCAAGCGCCTTTAACATTTTGATAATCGCATCATTTGATTGAATATTCCCATAATAGCAATACAGGTAATTAATACAGGTAATTAATACTGATTATGTTACAACGGAAAATTTCTTTTTCAAATTTTGCCATTAATATTAAGAGACGGTGACACAAAACATCGGCCCAAACCATACAATTTGAATAATTTTCTAAAATAGATATACCTATTATATATTATATATATAGTAAGAGCAATTTCTTTATGAAAATCATATTTAAGTTTCGATCTTCTAAAGTATTTCCTTACAAGTGCCCACAATAAGGATGTTATTATTCTATTTATTATAAACAAACAAATGCAGACCGGCATGATTTAATTGAATAAACGACATGAATGGCAGGATAAATATTTTTTTTAAAAAAAAAATACAGCATGATTTATTTGTCGGACAAATTAAGTTTCCAATGCTAAGAAACTATTTATAACAGAAGTATCAAACTCGACAGGAATATATTTTTGAACTCTAGTCAATTAAAATTTCAGATAATATTAAATTATTCTTAATTGACAACTAACTTATTTTCATCATGTTGGAGAACCCTTGGGTACTTTTAAACAAAGATTTTCATTGGATAGCGTCCCATTCGTATGAAATGATAGTTGAGTTTATACTTCGCAACAGCATTTTTGCAATTCGTTACAATAAGGATGAACCAAAGAATGAACCAACGAGTGAACTTGATATTTCGTATTGGAGAAATTGTTCCACTATCTTAACTCAGACTATGCTAACTTTAATTACGTTTCCAATTTTTATATTCTACCCTCTTCTGATGATGAAATCATTGGAAGTTGAGGAAATTCGCAAACCCGAAGATGACACATACTACGAAGAGAAATGGTTTTTCATTAACGGCGTCATGACAAATACAAATTGGTTAGATCTGAATTGCAAATATCTGGAGAGCCGTTTCGGTAGGGGGGTTACAGGTATTCTTAATAGAAGCTATGGAATTGTCTGGGACTTGATGGAATCAATTTTACACAGAAATTTCGAAGTTGATACTATGTCAGTACGCTGGGCCACAAATAGGATTCTCCCAGCGCTCAAGGACGAAAATATTAAGATTGTTCGGATGGTTTCACATTCCCAGGGCGCTATCATAGCAAATTTAGTCATGAAGAGGTTATACATTGAATTAAGTAACACGGAACAACAAGATTATCTCAGAAAACTTGAGGTGTATACATTCGCAAATCCATCTAGAAAGTTCATAAACCCAGGTAAACTAGTTAGTCGCATTGAGCATTATGCAAATGATCAAGATCCAGTTGCGATGATAGGTGTTCTTAGTGAAATCGGCAAGCAACATTTTCATGGTGAAGTTTTTATCAACAACAAGAAGGGCCATCTGTTCAACTCATTCTACAGCCTTAATAAAGAAGATTACAAACCTGTGACCGACAATACCATTCCTACATTTCTAGAACTTCCCGGAATTGTAAAAAATTTGCCAATTTAGATGTGATAGTTATTTAAAAATATAATTATTAATATTATGTCAACAATGATAATATTATATTCTCTGACATATGTAAAAATGTAAAATTTCTTTCTTTTTTTTATTATTTATTTAATTTCTCTCTTACTGTTAATTATATAATAATAAAATTATTATTTAACACTATATTCTTTGTTTTGCGAGTTTTTTTTTTTTTTATATACTCCCTTACGACTTTTAAGAATGTTCTTTATTTTTCTTGTTCCTCTGTTCATGCTGAGAAAGTTTTTCCGCATATTGTATTAACTTTATACTGATCCATTTCTTCCTGGAATAAATATGGTTGTGATAAAAGCTGATTTCGTTTTCACCTTTAAATTATTACTAAATACTCCACTTATAATAAATGCCACCTTTAATTAGATAGTTATGCACGATTCAAAAAATAAAACTCTACTCTACTTTTTATTTTATAGGCGCAGCAGGTACTTCTGTTAATTGTGGTGTTGACAAATATCCTCAAGCACCAGTTAAACAATTTCAATTTAAATCGTGTCCAGAATTTTCATTGGCTGATATTTCATGCAAAAGTGACTTTGATCTTACCAACCAAGTGGGTTTCAAAGATTAAATTTACACATGGATTGGTGCCTATTTCTAATGCATCAATCCAGCATCAAAGATAACAAAATTATGCAATTACTAGTGACATTTCAGGGCTTTATAGAGACAGCACAAATGCAATTTCGGGGCCACCAACCCCACTCTGAATTGCAACCTCCTATTAAAACAAGTTGCAGATTCTCATTGCTTTAATGGATCTGGATGTTTACACGGCACTACAATTCATCAATAGTATTGCAACTTGGTCACAGAGCCATCCTTACCCAGAGGTAGGATTGTTGCAGTCTAACATGGCAGTAGCCTTCTCTGGTCTGGGAAGATTATCAAAAGTGTCATTGATGTAAAGTGTTCAAGGTAGCATGCATGCGAAGCAAAAATTAGTAAAAAAAAAATAATTGTGAAAATACTATCTGCATAAATGCAAGTTCACTTGACACCCATTTACAAAGCAATATTATTTTTAATATCATTAATATCATTCTAAAGTCTGAGTTTAAGAAAGATAAATTCTGATTTAAGTTAATTTATATACAAAAAAGATTCAAGGTAAAGCTATCGATGGTAATAATCAAAAAAAAACTAAATCATTTCATATTCTGTTACAATGTTAAATAAATCTATGTTTTGATATTGTATTTGTCTAACGTACTCATACTCCCATATTTCACGAGCAAACCGACTTTTGTTATTTGTCATAAATTGAATATAATCAGCTGACTCAATCCCAGTGATCTTCTTGTCGTTGCCACGTCTATCATGTGAATAAAATATCCAAAAGAATAACCACCGTGCGGAGTCATAATGTTTAAGCATAATCGGTAGATAGTCATCTCTTTTCGTAGGATCGAAACAAAGATCATTGAGTTTGAACATATTACTCAGATAAAGCATACATACTCCAACTTCCGCTTTGGTTAAATAGCTGTTTGGTGAAATAAACAATACAATATGTAACATAATAAACAAAAAGTTGAAAAAAGTCAAAGCAAAATAGTAACTTGTTTTTGACCAAACAAAAATGCCCAAGGAAATAATAAAGAACAGTGTTATTCCGTAAAATAAAGCATTTTCGAGTATAAAAAGGGTTCGAAAAAAGTAATAATTTGTCAAGAAACAAACAATAACCATTTGCGCATAAGTAGGTATAATAATTTGAATAAATAAGTAAAATAAATGAAAATGTTTAAGTAAACTATATCTTTTGAATGTTTCAATGCGATCTATGTTGAAAATTGATAAATTTGGTTCCTTCCGACTTATAATTACCCAATAACATATAAATAGAACATCTAATGACATTAGTGCCAAAAAGACATAGGTTATTGGATGATGGAACAAAATGTCTTCGTTTAAAACGCAACAACCAAATGGGATGGAGTATTTAACCAAATTAGTTTCGACCAAGTTAAAAAAGGTTCTGATCCGTGTTGCTTTTCTTCCTTTGAACAAGGAGTAGTTCCATATAGCCACAAAAGGAAGGAACGTGTAAATAAAGAAATCAAAAAGATCGTCGAAAGGACGATAGGTATTCATAGCATCTGACATTTGACAGAATGTTGGCTTGTCAGTAGTTAATATAAAAATGAGGAAATTAATTATTATGAACAGTTGGGAGAAATTATCTGTATTTATAACTCATTTTCAAAATATAAAATTCGTATCGTATGATTTCGAAACTGAAAAATTCTCGTATGCGAATATAGTACATTGTGCAACACAACATTTTCTTAGCAACATAGGACAAAAGTATCAGGACACCTATTTTTACTAATTATACAAAAACGCACATAATAACTACACATAAAATTTTATCAAAATGTGACTTAGGTTTTGGTGAATATGCATGTAAATTTTGATACTCTCAAAACATCTAGAAAAATTTTAATTAAAATAATCCGAAATTCGACGAAAATCGCGATATCAATTTTTGTTTCTCAAATTTGCTCAAAATCCTACATAATAATAAAAATAAAAATTTATATCAATTTATAGCTTAGATTAACTAGAATATGAATACACAATTTCGTAATTTTGGTTAGCATAGATAATTAATAATAAAATTAAAAAAATTGGTAATTAAAATCGGATTTATAAAAATCAAGATTGACAAATTTTTTTTTAATCTTAAAAATGTAAAAATGTAAAAAAACAAAGAGGAAAAATTTTGTGCCTTCATGAAGATATCTAATTGACCCTTGCAATCCTCAGATCTTAATCCAATTGAACATCTTTGGAGTGAACTAGGGAGGTGATTAGATAAGTGAACACAATACCCAAAAAATGCCAACAAGTTGGAGGCTTGCTTTACAAGAAGTGTAGTCAATGAACTCCATATGAAACTTGCTACAAATTAATAGAAAACATGCCTAGAAGGATTGAGACATACATTTCTAGCAATGAATGGCCAACTCGATATTAATATTATTATTAAGTTTTATTTCATTTTTTTTTATTTATATTTTGAACACACAAAATAAATATTTGTTGATCATCATTTTCGTTGAGTTTCGGATTTTTTAATTAAAAATTTTTTAGATGTTTTGAGAGTATCAAAATTTACATGCATATTCACCAAAACCTAAGCTGCATTTTGATAAAATTTTATGTGTAGTTAT